ACAGAGTTGTAAAGTAACTAAGTACAAATACCTTGTTACTGTACGTAAGTAGAATTTTGGGGTATCTGTACTTTACTTGAGTAATTATCTTTCAGCCTACTTTTTACTTCTACTTCTTACATTTTCACACAATTATCTGTACTTTCTACTCTTACATTTTTTAAAAAAAGTAAAGAAGTAGAAAGTTGTTTGTTACAAGTGCCGTCATATTTTGTTTTGAGTGTGTGTGTTGCGATGATTATGTATGCAAATGAGTTTCCAGGTGCTGTCCGTGATTGGTTGATTCAGACCAGGAGCTGAAGAAGGATTGGACCTGTTGATGAGAAAACTGTATAAAGATTAGTTGAGAGGTGATGACGTCGAGAGCTTCCTCCTCCTCAGGGCCATCCAACCTGCCGCCTGCTGCTACACGTTAGCCTTTAGAGTTGTTTGTTTGTACTTAACTAAAAAGTAGTTTTGTGAGGAGTTTTGTAGGGGTGAGCTGCATTTTGAACATGTTTTTATCCTGTTTTGGGTAAGTAGGAAGGTAAGATTTAATTTGTATTTCATTTCTATTTAATTTTGAGGTAACATGTAAAAACTTAGATTTGTTTTGTTTGTTATTTTGGCCTTCGGCTCACCCTGAAGTGAAGACACTCCAGTTTTGTATATACTGTACACAAGCAGTGTAAATGAAAATCACACTTTTCTTCTTTTCATCAAATAGTTTTCCAGTGGCTCCTTTTTTTCTTTTTTTGTTGTTGAATGGTGCAGAGGTTGGGAATTTTTCCACTTTTTGTTACTTCCTGGTTGCTCCTAGATGGGGCGTAACATGTTACTTTTATTTCATTTTTATCTTTGCTTGTTTTCATTCCAGCTTGTTATTGTAAAAAATAAATACTATCCATTTAAATTGTGCCTCCTAGATAGAGTGAATTTAACTGTGGTTAAATCAGACGGATAAAAATATAAAACTCTGATACCGTATTAGTTCATACACAAACAAATCATGTCACACTCCAGCAGGACATAATCATTAAAATAAAAGGACTGTACTTCAGTAGTATTTGTATTTCATGAATTATATTTTTGCATTTGGCCTCAGCCCTCAGATAGATTTTAATTTTGGGGAACTCTGGAGTTGCCCATGCTGAGAGGCGCCGAGCAGGATTGGGCATACTWATTGCCCCCCATCTCGGTGCCTRTACGTTGGGGTTCACCCCGGTGAACGAGAGGGTAGCCTCCCTTCACCTACGGGGGACAGGTCCTGACTGTTGTTTGTGCCTACACTGTAAAATCTGTGAGTTTTCATTACTTAAAAAAAGCTTGTAAAGTGATTGAACTTTTCACTAGCTCAGTGTACAATGTGTGTGTGAATGGGTGGATGTCTGTAACTGTAAAGTGCTTTGGGGTCCGGAGGGACTTGATAAAGCGCTTTATAAGTTCAGTCCATTTACCATTTACTCAATTTTTTAAGTGCAATTGGTTTACAAGCTTTTTAAAGTAATGATAACTAATGGATTTTACAGTGTATGCGCCTAACAGCAGTTCAGATTACCCACCCTTTCTGGAGTCTTTGGATGGGGTGCTGGAGACGGGGACTCCCTCGTTTTGCTGGGGGACTTCAACGCTCACGTGGGTAATGACAGTGAGACCTGGAGAGGCGTGGTTGGGAGGAATGGACCCCCCGACATGAACCCGAGCCGTGTTTTGTTGTTGGACTTCTGTGCTCGTCACGGATTGTCCATAACGAATACCATGTTCAAATATAAGGGTGTCCATATGTGCTCTTGGCACCAGGACACCCTGGGCCGCAGTTCGATGATCGACTTTATTGTTGTTTCATCTGATCTGCGGCCGCATGTTTTGGACACTCGGGTGAAGAGAGGAGCAGAGCTGTCAAGTGACCACTACCTGGTGGTGAGTTGGTTCCATTGGTGGGGGAGGATGCTGGTCAGACCTGGCAGACCCAAACGTGTAGTAAGGATCTGCTGGGAACGTCTGTCAGAGTCTCCCGTCAGACAGAGCTTCAACTCATACCTCCGGGGGAACTTCGAACACGTTCCGGGGGAGGTGGGGGGCATTAAGTCCGAGTGGGCCGTGTTCCGTGCCTCCATTGTCGAGGCGGCTTATCTGAGCTGTGGCYRTAAGGTTGTCGGTGCCTRTYRTGGCGGCAACCCTCGAACCCGCTGGTGGACACCGGGGGTGAGGGATGCTGTCAGGCTGAAGAAGGAGTCCTATTGGGTCTTTTTGGCCTGTGGGACTCCGGAAGCAGCCGCAGTCAAAGCGGATTGTGGCTCGGGTGGTCGCTGAGACAAAAATTAGTGGGATATGTTTATCAAATAAAGTCTAATGTTACAACTAATCAGGGATCCCTTTACACATATACAGCTTAAGCCCTATTCTGACGGGATTAGTTTTACCYAGGGACACCATGTAATAAATAAATTACTCCCAGATGTCTGTGTTTTATGTGGCACATTCGTACGGGATCACCAAAGCCTGAGATCTTCCTGAAATTTACAGACATCTCCCGAATGTGACATTGAAGCCTGGTTAGTTGTTGTCTATTTAGTTGAACGGACATTAAAAAAACAAACAATAAACATCAAGTTCTCCACTTTTTCTGCTCTCCTCTCCTCCTGCTGACAGCAGGCACTGTCATCTCCACGGCYGACAGACCCCCACCCCACCCCCACRTGCGGGTACGAGTGGWACAGAATTTTAGCAAAAATTATAGATTTTTGAGGCTCATTAGGTAAACGTCCAAAGGGGTTGACATATGAACACCTTCACAGCTGGCGAGAGTGCGCGCGCCTGCTGCGCTACGGCCAGACCTCAACATTCAGCATCAGCCAGAAGGCTACAAACAGAAAAAAATATATATATTCTTACAGTACAGTGAGCCACCATTTGCATCTGATTTTGCGCCCTCTCTTCAGACTTTTTAAAATTATTATTATTTTTTATGGCGCACATAACGTGTCGGGTTTTTCCGGCCTAGGACCGAAAAGGTTTTCAGTGCACTCCAATCCAGCCTTCATTCTTCACCAAAAGTAAATAAAAATGCACCAAGAAAACCAAAACTGCCTAATTACATATGGGATTCAGTCCATTCCTGTCCAAATCACAGAGATGCCTTTTCGCATTGGATTAGTATTAACACAGGACCTCGGAGTTCAGCGAATTATGGTAGGTAATTTGCGGGGGAATTTTTACTTTACAAATTACTGACATGGCCAATTCTCACGGGATTAACAACACAGACAATCTCTGTAATTATTACAAATAGCATGGGGTCCCCAGGTAAAACTAATCCTGTCAGACTARGGCTTTAAACATAGTACAGTGGTATCAGAGAACAATCTAACAAAATTGAAATACAAAATCTAAGATTCCCAATCCCACCCACTTGTCAGTTATTTGGGAGTGGCACCTGGGGGTGGCCACTCAAGTACCAGGGGTGGTACATGCCACCCTGACCACACGTGCACCACCACCCYTGAGTTGAATTAGTAAGTAGGTATGAAATGGGCAGCAGTGCAAAAAAAACTTTCTTGAAATAACTYTTTTTTTTCTATTTGAATCTTTYAGGAACTGAATAAACTGTGCAGTTTAATCATGAAGTCAGTAAYGAGAGAGAGTTATCTATTTCTTCTGTCTGTTGTGTTCATTGGTTGCTTTGTGTTGCTCGGATGTGTTTATTAGAAGCATCAATCCACTCGTCTAATTATCACAACACAAGCAAGAACACGTCAAAAAAATGTCAAACTATTCCCCTAATGGTGCGCAATCTACTCCAAATCTGTTCTGCTCCAGTGCCCAACACTGGAAACTTCTAAGCCACAAAGTGAAGCCTCCCCTTTTAAGATGTTAAATAACTAAACACATCCGCCCGCTCAAGATTAAAGCGAGGAAAGTAGTTTGACCAATTGTTCCTCATCTACAAGGGAAGCAAAAATGAAAGGGAAAGACAAAAGTCCAGCAGCTTGCRCTGAACAACCTCAAGGTAAAAAAAAAAAAGGAAGTGATGCAATAGGGCAAATCTGATTCAGCTGCAGTTGGAACAACACGTCGAGGTCAGGCAGTTTGTTGTTTAGCATTAAATCCAGCTCGGCACAGAAACATTTTGTGTTGATACTGGCAAATGGAGCGCACAGCTATGCATACCCCGAGATAAGAGCTGCGCACCACAAGGTCGTTTGGAAACAAGTCTTTGGACTGATTCCTTGGCTCATGAACCGTAAAACACTATGGGTGTTCTTAAGAGGTACAGGACGAGGAACTGAATAACAAACAGCCGGCTACAACCGTTACACATGCTGAAAACAAAAAGCAGGAACGGTTCAGTGATTAATCGCTAATAGCCATTCACTGGGTTCCGTTCGAGGCACCGCATTTGGCTTTGGCTTAATTTAGCTGAATTAGAATACGCGCCCGCATCTTTTTAACCCGATAAAGAACGACTCCATGAATTACAAGCAGCAGGAGAAAGGGAGGGGAGGCAGGTGAAGTCTAAACGGGTGACGCTCGGTGACTTTCATCAACCGGCGACACTGTGCTCTGACAGCTGAACAGATAGTTCTTGCTGTTTCTGCCACCACATACAACACAAGAGAGGGGATTCTTGTTTTCATCCTGCCAAATGTGCCAGAAGAGTAAACGCATAAAGAAGTACCTCAAGAGACGCCGTTCTGAGGTGTTTGAGGTCAAATTCGGTCTGATGGTACAGTACTCAACTGAACAAACCGGTGATGAATGGATTTGTGTTTTCAGGGAGATTTTGTCCTCAACTTGGCTTTGAGAAACGGTTTGTTTTTCACCTTCAAGCAAACAAACTTTTAATCTTTGGATTTAACGGTTTTGTTTACAATATAGGGGGGAAAAGGGTAAAAATAATTCATTTTCTTTTCTAGTATGTACATCCTTAAACATGCACCTATTGTTCTTTTAAATTACACGTCAGTTTATTTAGGTCTCAGTGTTAATGCTGAGTTGTAAAAACAAAGAAATAAAGAGGCTTTTTTTCCTTTATTAGCTCCAAAATCAGCATTTTATTTGGATGGTTGGGGTCAGAGATGTATAATTTGTGTTGGAGTACACACGGTTTTCCACAAGGCTTCAGTTCAACACCTGCTCCAGTCTTAAAGCTGAGTCTTTCATCAGTGCCAACAGCACTTCTGACCTTCCCACGTCCCATTTTGTTTGGTACAAATTCAACAGTTGTGCTGACAAGATCACTACTTTTCTATTTTATTGTTTTTTTCCCCATTTATTTTTTTTATACAAAACACTCGTAACTTCTACACATGTATTATCACCCAGGTTTTTTTTCCACGTTGTAAAGAAATTTGTGAAACTATTTTTTTTTAATTTTTTGAAAGTTTTTGTCGTCATGAAAAGATAAAAACATGCAAAAAAACTTGTATTTGTTGTCCAAATTATACATTTACAAGTTTGGAACTTCGCACTTTTTCCATAATACTACATCAAAAGAAAAAAAAAAAGGGAGGAAAAAAATATTATGTACACACATCTTTTTACAGTGAAGTAAAACTCGAACATATCAGATTATGACTAAGGCAAAAGAAGTGTACATAAATTAGACCAAAACAGTTTGTTGTTTTTGTAAAATACTACACCACTTCAAAAAAAAATAATAAAAAAATGCTACAAAAGTGTGATTTATAACTCCCTTTATTTGCAACCAGCTGCATAATTTTAATTTTTTGTGAGAAAGTCTAAAGGTTTAGCATACTGTACAGTGCTGCTTTAAATCGTTTTTCTTCTCATCCAAGCTAACAGATGTTCAATCCTTGTGATTTATTTAAATAGCCTTCAAACAGGAGCGTTGTGTAACCAAAAGAAACAGAAAAAAAAGAAAGAAAAAGCATGTTGAAGCATACCAGAGTGTAACATATTCGTTTGAAATCACTCTAAAAGTCAGTACCATTAAAGCCTTGAACATAAAACTAATCATTTAGATCCAAAAAAATGTACAAAAAGGCACATTATATCCCAGTGCTTCTGTACTGTGAAATTCAAGTTTAACTGAGCGCATTCAGTACGACAATCTGAGTGGTGACAGTCCACCAGCATTCCCTCCCACCATCCTCCACAGCTGGACCACAGCCTGTGCCTAAGCTTTCAACAAGCATATGTATGCAGAGACTACAACAATAAGCCTAGGTTGGTTGTTTTTGGGAAAAAAAATTGAATTAACGTTTTTTTTTTCTTCCTTTTTTTTTTATAATTTCAGTCACAGTTCTATCACTCTCAGGGAATATCAGAAGCTGTCCTTCAATAGGAAATCCTTTTTTTTGTGATCCTTATCCTTCAATGTGTGCCAGCGCGTCCTAGTCGTCGCCTCCACCGTACATGTCTGCCAGTTTTCTAAAGCGAGGGCCCCAGTCGTTGAGATAATCGTAGTCCTGGTCGCCCCCGCTGCTGGAGGAGTTGAGTGAGCTTAGGGAGCCGGCTGTGGAGCCGCTGCCCTCGTAATCGAACACTAGCAGCGAGTCGTAGGGAGGAGCAGTGGGGTCRTTGTCTGCTGCCTTCAGTCCCTGTGCGCAAGGAAATAAAACCACAGTTAGATCAGAAGATTAAGTCCCGCCGGCACTCTACACACAAAAACCTGTCTACAACAACATAAACATCACTCCCTCCCTTGGACGCTCCGAAACAGGCTCACTTTTCCCAAAACCTTTCAAAAGGTCTTTCCCTCAGCTTGTTCAGGAAATATGATTCTTGTTAGAGTTAATCAGGCTCTGCCGTTCCTAAGTTTTCTGTTTGAGATGGGATCCTCCAGATGTTTCTAGAATGTTGGATTATCTGCTGCTGGATCAAAAGGCCAACACTGATCATGACCAGGAGCTTTAAACGCCTAAAAGTATCTGCCCTTTTCCTCAGTAACCCCTGCAACTGAGCGCCCTATCCTCTGCACAGGCAGCACAACTATGATACCTCATCTTTTATCTTTAATATTCGATGTAATCAACTCTGTAAAATGTAGACATAAGCAGAAACGACACGTCATCCCGAAGCTCATGGAGCTTGTGAGGGTGGTTCTATTTTGGAGATCCTACTTGACATTCCCAGAAATCCTCATAGCGTCACGAGAGGTCCTTATGGATTGTTATTGATTTCCAGCCTCATTCACTAACAGGACTCAGGAGACTTGATGGATTGCTAATCTAGGAGCTGAGATGTGCTTTGGCCATGAACCACTTTTGGATCCGGGCCCGGTTTCTCCATCATATCGCTAGAACTGAGGACACTCAACAAATAATGAATGAATTAAAAGAGGTACAGAACCATAGCAGAGAAGAGAGGCCTCCGCTCATTGAGAACCCGTCAAAGATTTATAGTTTCCTCTATACTGTGACTATAGTGCTGAAATGCTCTCAAATAAAGAGATGGATTGGATTAAAGTGCCTGGGCACTTAGCCATTATTTTCCACTTGTTAGCTTTGGTGAAGTGTTTGGTCAGGGTTGCGGTGCTGATCATTTTGTGGAAAATATGACAGATGGATCGTTCATTTCAATTACAACCATATTAGCTTCGCCTAATGTAGCCTGCCTTCTATCTACAACTAAAACGCCACTGGCAGTTTCATAAAGTTGGACAATTAATGAGCTCAGCATTATAAGAATATAAAAAAAACCTCTCAGAATCACTGGGTAATCCTCTGCAGTGGAATCAATCACGACTCTTAAAATGGGGGAACTGTCGTCACTTTTTGGAGTCTCTCTGTCCTGCAGATAATGACGTGTAATCAAACCCGCTGCTATCTCAGTTCACAGAAAGCCTTGCGAGGACCGAAGCAAGTCATTGTGCAGAACAATGAACACAATCACTTCAGCTTTTGTCTCTTTCTGTGTCCACCTGTGGACAAAAGAGGTGCTAATGTATTTAATGTTAACCCCCGTGTGAGAACAGACCAGAAGTTGACTAATGGATCTTTATTTGTTCGACTATGGGGTTAGCGTCCTTATGCTAAACCCACGCCTGATTTTTTTYCCTTCTCTGTTCCTCTAATTTAATTAAGAGCCTGAAGCTCCGGGGGAATGTGCACAATTCAGGATGGAGAAGAGACATACTCCCTCCCCCCACTCCACTCTGTCTCCCCTCTCTGCTGGCAGCGTGCCATATCAGTTAGGTCATTCCAGCTCAATGTGCTTGCTGCAGTTAGCATGACTTAGACTTAGCAGCAGCCAAATTTGGGACTGAAAACGGATCAGAACTACACAGTTCCAGTAAGTATTTTCTGCAGAAGAGTGCTAAAAGAGCGGTTTTTTTGGAAATGACACGCAAAGAACAAGTCTGAAGAAAGAATGTGCACACTTACTATATACTCAAATGTTTTTTTAACCACAAAATATAAAATTTCTCTACATATCAGCTGTTTTGACACGTTTATTACCCATTCCCATGACTAGGCAAGGGGATCTAGGCGATAAATGGTGGGGCAGCAGAGCCAAAAGAGCAAACGCTAATGTAAAAACAGGGGTGCCATCCAAAAACTAGGAGCGAACTTCATTTGTAATGCTGTGAAACTCTTGTCTGTTGGAGCTTGTGAAAAATATATGACTCCTCTTTTCATTTTACATTCTGCCTTCATGCTGGAGTCAATGATGGCCTCAGGCAAACGAGGGCACTCTGAGCAGTACACGCAGATAGAAAGCTAATGCATTGCTTCTCTCATCTGCCATTACTGTGCCATTATGCCATTACAATACTGTGACACATCTCTATTTCCTCTTTGGCAGAATGTGATGAGGAAAACAATTATATATGAGGGAGTTAGTTTCATATACATCAGGCTTTAGGAAAGTCGGAGGGGATATATGTGGAAGTAGAAAAGTTTCTCTGTATCTGCAGTGAAAACATGAAAACAATTCTAACTGATTGAGTGCAAAGAGTCTTTTCCCCCTGGAAGGCAAAGRAAAATACTTGATGCTCGGCCATAAAAGCCTAATAGTTTATTTAGATACAAATTTTATTATAAGAAACGCATTCAAGTCGAAAATGAAATTTAAGCTTTGTGACTGCACTGAATCTTTCATTTTGGCTCTTTCCTTGAGATTGGATTCGGAGGAGCAACGGCGACTTCAGAAGTTGCATCAAGGCTAGTGCTTTTACCTCGTTGATGAAATCTCCGATGTCTCCAGGATGGGGTGCTGCTGACCTCAAAGGATACTGGGGCTCGGGGTGGAGAGGTCTCTCGTCTAGACGGCGGATTCCCACCGGCTTGATGGCATCAGGCTCGAGCGTGTCTGGCTGCTGAAGCTGACTCAGGTCATAATCCTGGGAAACAGGCAAACAGATGGGACTTAACTGAGCAGTGTGACAAGAACCCGAGCTGAGTGTGATTATTTAAACAGATAAAACACGCCATGTGCTGTGAAGAGCAAGAAGTTGTTCAACTCAGGGAAAAAAAAGGGAGAGATTTTGAAAGTTAAAACGCAGAGCCGAGGAACACGAGGGGAACTTTTATCTTCTTGTCTGTGAGGCACAAGTCCAGGACAAACTTGACGCATAAGAAAAAAGAAAAAAAAAGGCACTAAAAAGGGGTTCAAGCTGAGGATCACATCATACGCGGCTGAATCTCTGTTCTTGTGCCATGTGGTGCAGGAAGGATGTGCAAGCGACTATTTTGCTCTAATCAATGCCCAGACACAGGATGGTGGATATGCTTAAGCCATTCCTAATCCTATTAACATTACCAAGGCAACCTGAATGGCATGCAGTTTGTGCAAAGTCATGGGCAGGGAAAAAAAAAAGGACAAGGAAGAGCAGAGAGAGGAGGAAAAAAAAAAAGAAGTTAGGCTGTAGAAAGGAGCCGTGATGAAAAGTAGAGCAGCCGAGCTGGCTGACTGGATGCCATCAGGGTGACGGCCGATATGATAAAGATAATACCATTTGAGAATCAGTGTGTGCCTAATAAGCGTGCATGATGGATTGGCCCTCTTTAAGAGATTTTCAGTAATCCATCCATCTCTAATATCCCCTTCAAAAATGTCTTTGCTCAGTTGAGGGTGTACCTTCAAATGCCAACACTCTAAGAGGAAAAATATGCTAAAGAAACGGTGATGAGAAAATAAAAAATATGCATAAAACTCATGGTTGGCAATGTAGCTAAAAGCCACATGTTAAAAAAACAAATCCAAATAGGTTTTTTTAAAGTAAATGAAAGGACATTTTTAAATGTTTATGATCATTTAAAGAGAATACTGTTGATAAGAATAATCTCACTACACTGTATGAAAATATTCTAAGAGTAACTAATGTATTTTTTCCATCACTATTTCTATGTTCAATGTTCGACACGCCCGTATAATATACCACAGTGCAATCTGAACAAAGTAGAACTACTATTAGAAATTAGAACTTTTTTTTCCTCATCTTCCCTTGTGTGGTTTTTAGTTTTTCTTTTGGTAAAGGTAGCACAACTGTGTTTGCTACATGACCGGTTTCATCTGTTCCCCCATGTTTGTCTTGTATGTCTTCTTGAATGGGTGTTTCTTAACTGCCCCCTCCCCCTTCCCTGAATGTGCAGCACCTTGTGAATTTATTTCTGTGAAAGGCGCTATATAAGTAAAACTTTACTAACTTTTTCTCTTAAGTCACTAATGTTTTGTATTTGATTTAAACAATTTTTGATGACTGGTTTGCATTTTCAACATTTTCTTCTTCCTAAAAACATGAAACATCAAAAAGCTGATTTTCACAAGAGCTTAAGTCACAAAAGCAGAAGTAACRTAATATGGCAGCACCTCTTCACAAACTGGCTCTTCGCACGTAAACTGGGCCTGGTGAAATGGCTGCCTGCTGGCACTCATGACCCACATTCAAACAYGAAGCAAGTAAATATCCGTCCAAACATCTTATTCCTGACAATCTGGGGTGAGGTATACAGTAAATGGGAGCCATTTAATCATTTAGGGAATAACAGCTCTAAATGATTAATGCATTGAATTAATTTTAATGAACTTTACTGCAGTCACTCAAACTTTCAAAATTTAAGCATTTGCACAATTTTTAAATAAACAACCTTAAATTAGTTAATTTTTTTATTTTGCTACTTTAAAAAAGGAGATGTCATGCTTTTAAACCCTTTTTCACATTTAAAATCATTCAGTTGGAGTCTATATAAAGTCTGAATTTCTCCTTATTGCAGCTCCACAAGCCCCTCTTTCACTCCTTTTCTGTGGTGTGTATCAAAGCAGCTCGTTTATTTACAAATGAATAAAAAGATGGCAACAACAGAAGATGTGTGCATCCAGCCTCAGAGTCTGACGCAGAGCGAGAGGAGAATGTATCCTATCAAATTGTAGTTGGTAAGTACAAACTTTATTTAGAAGTTCCCTCGCAAATACGGTGATGTAATGGTTCAGAAAACATCATAGAAAATAGAGAAAACTGAGTGGGTTGAAAAATATGACCCAAACAGAATAAAGATTTCTGTGCAGTACCGGGAGAGACTAAATCCTAATTTTCTGCACTCCTAGAGAATCCAAGTACACAACAAAATGTGTTTAACAGCTAAAAAGTGGTGATAGATCCCCTTTAAACACTAATTTAGAGTTATTTTGGTTAAGACAATATTTGTATTTAGAGCATTTGTTAATTACTGAAGTGATGGCTGGTTTTACAAAAAACATTCTTTTTTAAGTTAGTAATTTAAAATAGATTAATTTGTTGCATGAAATTAAATTAATTGATAATCTCTTCTTTTTATGCAATTAAGAGAATGAAGCCAACAGCTTGTTAACTCCAAATTACGACAGGGAACATATGTGCTGGTCACCAGATAGTTTGCCCTTTGGCAAGCTGTTCCCCCCTTTATTCCTGCAGTTAAGTTGCATAAGCAAACAACCTTTTTGATGTAGCTTTCAGTCAGAGGATGAATAAACACTATTAAAAATATGATATAGACTTTGAAATTAATTTCTTTTGATCAATGTTAATGAAATTTAATCGTCAAAAAAGGTACAAAAAGCTACTMCTGAGGTCTAATTTATTAAAATGATCTTCTCTGAGATGTTATCAGCGTAATGACAAGGTCTCCTTTTTGTTTGTGGGGGAGAAAAACAACTGATTTGATTTATTCCATGTGTTGCATGAGATTGGAACAATAAATAAATAAATAAATAAAATGAAGCAAAAAAATAGTTTTCAAAAGCATGCCTTCAAGAACATGTCAAAAGTAAATGTGAAATAAATTATTCTGAGGTCACTTTAAGGAGCGGATGAATCATCGCTGTCGTGCATCAGTTGCTCTGCAAGGAAATCTGTGCACAAGAAATTCTCAATTTGCCATTATTTCTGTTTTTTTTCCTTTCTTTTTTTGCCACATCCAAGGAGTGCTGATCACCTGTCTGCCTTTGATAAAATGAGGGCTATACAAACCAATACCAACCAGGGCAATGACAGTGGCAACTAAAATCACAAACTCTGAAAGCACCCAGTGCTCTGACACTTCAATTTCCTCCCCTGCGGGAGATAGGGAGAACAGAGGTGGGCATTATAAAGACTACATCGCTGGGAAAGTCAGGTCCATTTTTTACCCAACACCAACKCCGCATACAATTCCGCAGACAAGACCATTTTCTCCTGGCGCCTTGGCCTTTCTGCCCTGTTCAAACTCTGAGCTTATTTCTCCCCAATAAATCGCTGCATTCGCTTGTTTGGCTTTAAGGGATGTTTATATCGTGCAACAGTTTCTTTCTCAACGTGCTCTGGTCCACAGGTTTGTTGAATTTTATGTGAGAGACTGGGGATTCTAATAGACAAATGGGTGTTCTCCCTCCTGCCTAATTACTGGCAGATGTGTAATGGCTTTCCAGTCATATTGTTACCTTAGACAGGGTTTCATTATTGCACTACAGCAGATGTCTGTCTCTAAATGACATCAGCTCACCAATTACAAGTCTCCGAGGCTAATTTGGCACCGCGCTGGGTCAGACTGGGGTGTCCCGCACATTTCTGCTATACCTAAGCCACYAAAGCACTTCAGCCAGCAGCAAGAAAATGGCCCATTTGGTGCAACACTGCCTTTTTTTTATGAAATGACTCCGTTTTGTTAACAAGGGGTTATTAGGACAATTGAATCCTGTGTGTGCCTGATCAGTGCAGGAGGATACAGAGATGGGACACTATTGATGCCTGTGGCACTGCGTTTCTATTGTTTGTGCTTGCATTAGGGCTGTGAAACGAGGAGCTGTTCCAGTTGACAAAACATTTCCAATATTTCCAGAACCAATCGGATCAAAACGAGTTTGCCTTATTGATTCTAACATTTTGATTTTTTCAGCTTCCTTTGGAGGGAAAAAATGACAGCCTTCGATGCTCGATAAAAACTGTCTTCCTTTGCCTTGTGAATGACTCAGAGGAATGTCGTGGAGAAGCATAACAAGCAGAGATAATACTAGAAAGAGACCGAATGTATGTACGCTTGTAGAGGAAAAATACAAGTGGTGCCTCTTTGTTCTTATGTTGCTGCGTAGATGTGACCAGAATAATCTTTCACAACAAAGACAACACATTTACCTTTTATCACCTTTTCTGTAGCACTGTACAGCTTCTGAATGAACTATGTTGGTAAAATGCAATGAAGAATACAAAGTCCTTAACTTTAAATTGAAGGTATTTGCTTACAGATTTGGACCTATGCCTTAGAAATTTAGACATTATCTAAACATTTGTTGTTTTTAATAAATTGGCACATTACCACTAAAAATGATGATACTGACTGTTATTAGATTGGCTTTAACACTGTACAAACACAGAAGCACTTTTCTGTAATCACTATAGTTTATGTAGAAACACAGCAGCTATGCGAAAAATCCTAATTCAAGAACCACCATCCATAAAAATTGATTACGATCTGATGAAAATTAAAAAAAGGTTTCTGATACTTCCAAGTTASACCAGAAAAAAAATGTGTTGACCACATAATTCTTACCTGATCCTCCTCTCCACCGCCTTCCTCGTCATACTTGAGGATGTTGTCTCTCACATCATCCTCGGGATCGATAAGAAGCTGTTTGGCCTGACGCTCTTTTTCACGGCGCTTCATCCACACCACAAACATCAGCACAAGGACTGATTGAAAGGGGAAAAAAACACAAAGATACCACAATATAAAACCTAAGAACCTGCAGATTCTCAATGAAATGTAATCTGATCCGATGCTTTAAAGTTTGGATGTGGGCCTGATGGATGCTATTTTTTTTGGTAATGCTACAGTAATCTAGTGATATCTGGAATAGCTGTCTTGATAATCCCTGTGTTCACTCATGTTATTTGTGCAGTGTGCGAGAGAGAAGCTGAGAGACTCACCGAGCAGGATGATGATGCAGAGGAGGATGGATATGATGGCGCCTGTTCCCAAACCAGCAGCCATGATGTGTTGCTGGTCGGTGCAGTCTCCGTTAATGTCACACTGGCACACTTTAATCCGCAGGTAGGAGGTGGTGGCCATGGGTAGGTTGCCTGAATCCGTGATTATGATGGGGATGACATAGATACCGCTTTCGAGGAAACCAATCTTCAGGCTCAGTTGAGCACCTTCACCTGAGAGATGGAGATGTAAAGAAAGTGAGCAACGACTAGACATATTTCCTTATCAGAAGAAACAGATTTTGAGCAGTGACTCTAGAGATTAAGCAACTCAGTGCGTTTTAATATGAACGAACACCAGGTTTGTTTCGGAGCTCAGTCTTTCACAGGGGATTTAATCCAAACGTTGAAGTCATCTGTAGAGATGGTGTTCACGCCATGATTATACTTCTTTTATCACAAATATGGAGCATAAATTCCTACCTGGAAGTTGCATCAGCATATCTAATCCAAAACATGGTCAGGATTTGGATTTGAAGCTTATAAACCTACTGAATACCTTTTGATAATGCTTCTTAGGCTAAATTCCCWGCAGTGATAATCCAAATGCCATTATCCTATTAAGATTTATTTACTGTGTTTCAGCTCACACTAACAGCTAACACACATCAAATGAGTTTTCATCCACTCGTGGTTTGGTTTCAAATTAGCATAAATAATTAATGACTGTTTGGCAAGATTAATAGATTAATATATTGTATCTCTTAACTCTGACATCACTAAAATGTGCTGTTTACACACTGATGAACACGTTTCAAAAATGTTACTCAGATTACACTCGTAAAGCTTTAATGACTAAACAAATTGCTAAAATGCATTGCTTTAGATTTATGCTTTTGTTTTTTTAGATAATTATCAGACCATACCCACTGCAAAAGAAAAAGGCAAAAGGTCTCAAGTGATTTTTTTTTGTTTTGTTTTTTTCACTTCTACTAAACATAAAATYACAAAGGAATCATAATCTCTTACATTCTGGCAATTGCAAACTGAAGATTAGTTTAATCTCATTAATCTGAGGTTTTACAACAGGACAAAATGGCCCCGTATGAATCGGACTAGGGTTCAGTATCGTTCTGCATCTCACCGCTGGTTCTTGTTATGGTCCAGTTCCTTCTGATATCCGAAGGCTTGTGAGCCAACTCAAAGGCAAAAGGCCCAGCGTTTGGGATCAGGTCCCCGTCCACTGCAGTGATGTTGATGATGTTGGGCTCCGGCTTTTCACATATCTCTGCTTCCTGAGGAAACACTTTGGGTGCGTTGTCGTTGATGTCCAGCAAGAAGATCTGCAGCGTTCCTGTGCCRGTCGCAGGGAACTTCTTATCTGTACAAACCGTAAAAGAGCACATGCTACTGACATTTTGCTAATATTTATGGGGAATTTGAAATGTAAAAATTTGCATATGGAAACAAATAGATGCTATTGGAATGCCATCTCTCATTTTGAAACCATTATACAGGCAACAGAGAAAACTAAAGTGTGGAGCTTCTTCTTTTGCTCTCTAAATAACTACTCTTGAGGGAGAAGTTCCATAAACACCGCATACTGACCTGAGAATCTAATCTCATGCGAGGAGGTGGAAAGAAAGAGTTGGATATCAGAACATTTGGTGTGTGAGTGTGTTTGTTTGTGTTCCTGAAGAACGTCTTCCTGACGAAGGACACGAGACAGGAATACTAAAGCAGACAAACAGAGCCCACTGTCGTTCCTCCGGGGCTTCTCTATGTATTCACTCAGCTAAGAGGCTTTTTTACCATTCAGACCACGCTCAAAGGAGCTAGTCATCCAATCCTGACCCATTAACGCTGAGAAACCTCTTTATTGGTAGACATTTTAAGCCTCTTGGCCTAAGCGATGCCCCATAGAACGGAGTAAACCTGAACAGAGGTAAATCCCACAAGCGCATACGGAAGGTGAAAACATCCACATGTTAGACGATTGTGGGATTGCTAGCGTATTAACCTTCGACTACGGTGGCCAGCATTGCAGACAGAGAAAATGACGACACCTGATTGCCCTTCAAGCTTGGGAGACATTTTTCTGCCAGATATGGCCCACTTATGAATCAACATCAAGTGAAAAAAACTTCACAAAAGTAGTCAAAAGGAGACCAGGAGGAAAAATGACCTTCAGGAGCTACATTAGATATTAAGGTTTCTTTTAAAAATAATAATAATAAAAAAGAAACTGTCTTCCTTTGAGCAGTCTGGCAGTAATAGTAATAAAAAAGGTGTATGTGAAACAGTCTGGCTAAAACTACTAGACCATGCAACCAGTGCAGACTTAACAAGGCATGTTTGGAAACTGCAGTACCCTATGAACGCTTACATACCGTCATCGATGGCCAGGAATGTAGCATTGTATAAACTGTGCTTCACATAAGGAGACTCTCTGTCCAAAATGGCCATTGTTGTGATTCGACCAGAGACGGCATCAATATTTAGCCAGTTGGCTGGATCTGACAGCTTGGAGTATCTGAGACAATAACAAAAATAGACATTAACACAAAGCTTTATCATTTCGATTAAAGTTGAACTTTCAATGTCTCATTAAGGTTGAGATAGTCTAAGGTGTTTATTTTTTGTTTTCCAACCAAATATAATACTGTGCCCAGTTTTGAAAATGTTTCTATAAGCATTTTATTTATACTGAATAAATATTTCAGACATCATACATTTTATATAATTATTCCAACATTTGAGAGCAAATTTGCAGGGGAGATCAAACTGCCTCATCTTTTTCTTCTTTTTTAAAATCGCCTCAAATTAATTTACAGGACAACCTTTTTAGTTTTCGTGTGAAATATTTTAAGCAGATAAACACATCCACAACTAAACAGTTATGACTAGGAAAAAATGAGGCTTGTTAAAATCAAGACAGATATGTTGGGTTTTCACTGTCTACACAACAAGTGTGAAAAACRTGCTTTAACCACAACATTTTTCATACACACAATATACATGCTACATACATGACGCATTTTGCTGGGTCTCTAAATGTCTCTAAATGAGTTTAAGTCTCTGTTGAAAACTCATCTGTTTAAACAGGCATTTGAGTCTGAAGAGCAGGATCATTAGGCCAGCCTTTGCTGTTTTGTTTGATTTTATTGTTCATTTTATTACTGTAYTTTGTTCATTGTTTTTATTTTACGCTCCTGTACAGCACTTTGGTTTTTATTGTGCTTTAAAAATTAATGATGATGATGATGATGATGATTTTAAAAGAACCAGGTGTTGCTGACTCAACCTCAAACTTCAAGATAAAAACAATGTGTGGTTTTTGCATCACTTTGTTGTTGACCATTACAAAAGTCAATAGAAAATTAGAACAGCCAGCAGCATAAGAAATCTAAGAATCAAATAATCAATAGGACTCACCACATCCAACTATGTTTTTGAACAAAGATCCTGTATTCATCAACTTTAAAAAGGCACAACGAATTATTAAAAAATAAAATAAAAATAGGTACATCAAGAATGATGAGTGGTAGCACTGATATTTCAGTAAATTAACTCTCTCTATTTTCTCAAATGAAAGGCTGAGGCTGTTATTTGATTTAGCTAGTTAAGAGTCTGGCTCACATAAAAGAGGGAGACTTTTAATTGCAACATGGCTTTTACTTAAAAAAAAAAAAAGTCACTTCTTAATATAAAGCTCCAAATACTTCAATGTATTCCATCATAACTGCATTCTTGATAACATTTGTAAATGTTTAATTTTTACAAACAAACTAAAATTCAAAGATTTTAATTGATTTTCTCTCATAAAGGTCATCCCTGTTTATTAAATAGTAAATTCCTCAGTATTGAAATTAATCCCTAACAGGTGTTGCTTTAAAGTTGATAAGTGTGATGCTCTCTTAAATTATAAGCATGTCTCTTCCAATTTGAATTTAGAAACAGAAGCGCAACAAGTGGGAAACAATGGTCAACCGTTCATTTTACAGTTAACTACGTACCTGATGATTTGCTGCTTGAAGCGATCAGGATCCTGCGCAGTAAAATAGGTCAGCTCTGACTCGGGCACCATCCCTTCCTCCAGTCTGATTAGTTTAGGGTTGGGCTCAAAGGAGGGRCTCTCATTGACGTCTATTACCCTGATGGAGACCGTGGCAGTGGACTGTCTGTGGGATTGGATCGCCGTAGTCAGGGAAACCTCATTCCTAGCTTCCACTTTCAGCATAAACGTTCGAGTAATTTCATAGTCAATAGGCTGAAATGAAATAAAGAAAAAAAATAGCATTATTGGAGTGATTAAAAATGCAAGATAAAACTAACTGCATAGCATTTTCTGTGGTGTGACGCTGATCAGAGAGCAACTTTTAAAAAAGGAGTAAAATATCTATTTTTCCCTTTTGCCTGAAAAATATTTTGAAAGCTAGAAAGATCAAGAAGAATAAAAGAGACTAATTTTTTTGTGATCAGTTCAAGAATACACAACAAGAAAGCTGGTGTAAGAGTTCTGCAACCACTTTATTTCATTTGAAATGTGGCCTGGACTTAAAAAAATAGCTGGAAAAGTTTAAAAGGTGTTTTCTTTAATCCATTTTCAAACTTATCTTTTATACTCTTTGTACAAGTGTGTACAGATTTATTTATTTTTTCCATGGCTGAGGTTGATTTACACAAAATATTTTTTATTTAAATAAATAATGATTTAGATCAGTTTGTTTTGTATATTTATAGGGAACAGCTCAACACACTTAAGACTTATTAACACCTAATAAATTTAATGAGTTCAACCATGAACTTGATATTCTCATAGGCAAATACACATGATAAAAAGAGGAAACGTTCATACCTTGACAACAGTTACCAGGCCCTCATTAGTTGTTGGATCGGTGGGCACTGAAAATCTGCCAGTGGGGTCACCGTCAATGATTTTATAGACRGCATTCCAGGCAGGTGTGTTTGGCTGGTCCTTGTCAGTCACAGTCAGGTTTGCCACGATAACGTTCACACAGTTCTCAGGCACCTCCCCAAAAAACTGCATGAATAAACCATGAGTGTGCACAACAGCAAGCTGTTAGTGAGGGCTGAAAGTGTGGCAAAAACACCACAAAAAATAAAAMAAAAACACASCAAGCCATATATTGCACAATAAAGCAAGGCCAATTTAAGGGTAAATAGACATCTAAGGTAACTTATCATGTAGTCATGGTCATCTCATTCACTTGATAGCACAACAGCARCGTTAGAAATGTCATTCGTGAGCACAGTAAGTGCCTCTTTCACTGAGGCACACGTCCTCATAGCTGCATGTGTCAACACTCGGGAGTGGGATATAACACTTTACACATGGTTGGCGACTTGTATAACTGTATGGTTTCAAAAGTGCAGGGCAAGCAAAAACCAGGTAAGTGAGCAGAACTGACAGGTGAGTGCATATATCCTCACGAGGGGTAAATGGAGGTCCTTTGTGGCGATATTGTTAAAYGAAGAGCGCGGTGTTGACATCTCATATCAGAGATTGCGTCTTACCTTCTCAGCAGTGAACTCGGGCAGATTGTCATTAATGTCGGTAACTTTGATGACAGCTGTGGCTGTGTTGGAGAGGCCATACATCGAGTTGCCCTCCATGTCGGTTGCTTGGATGATCAAGGTGTACTGAGGCACTTTCTAAAGCATAAGAAAATAAAATAATGAGAAAAATACAAATAATCCACAACCATTCCTAATTAAACTTGGGTATTAGAAGCATTACAAACAAATAAAGTACTCCAAAGTAAACTTCAGTTCAATAAGATGTAAGCACTTCACACAAGTATACTGTAATGAAATTTACTAAAACAAATCTGACCARTACAACCTTTTAATTAATATGACAAATGGAGAGCTTTTATAAAAATCGAACTTCTTTCACATGAGGTAATGTGAGTGTGTGTACATGTGTGAAAAGTGCACCTCTACAATAAGCACAATCATACAGGGGACGAATGGCTCTTTTCACATTAAAAACTGCTCAGTTGATGGACCAGTTGCTAGGTAATGGGAGTCAGGCAAATTACTTTCATGGTGGCAACTTATGGACATAAAGCGGCAGCCCCAGGGTGGAAGTGATTGAGCAGCCACCTCAGCCAGATTGCCCTCACTAGAACTGAACCAACTAGCTCCAGCTGTATACATCATTTTATTTATTTTCCCAAACAACCATAGAGTCCCAATTTAACAAAAGAGTGGCTRCGTGAAAAATGGAGAGATAAGATGCAAAAAGCTTTTTTAAAAGAAGACAAAAAATATGAGAATGAAGGAAGAGAAACATTTAGCTGCTTAGTGATGCACACTGGTTCCTTGTAAAAGTAAATTGGTGTGAAACAGCCAAGTCCACTTCTATTTCTCATTRTGGTGATAATAAGCAAAATTTACTTTGGCTCATTAGTTCTCAAACAGTCTGGATACTGGCGACAATACTCAAACTGTCCACAATTTAAAAAAAAAAACACAGTCCATTTAGTCAAAAACGAAAAAATGATTTGTTAATAGAGCAAGCAACGACTGTAAAATAAAAGAAAAACCAAATGGATGGGCTTACCAAAGTAAGTCAAATAAATGAAAAATATAAGGTGGAAAAAAATGTGACAAAAGAAAACAAAAGATGAGAAAAAGGTGTGAGGTACCTCTCTGTCCAGGCCTGCTGCTACCGTAATGATGCCTCCAGTTTTATTGTTGATGGTGAATATACTGGAGCTCGGACTCTCGGGAGTCTGAGACAAGATCTTGTAACGAAGCATTCCATTTGCTGTTTTTGGGTCATCTTTATCTAAAGACGTTACCGTCATGACAAATGTTCCTTTGGAGGTAAAAACAAAAACAAAACACAAACACTTTTTTAAATGACTTCCTTAATAAGCAAGGTAATCTGAGAAATAACACCATTAAGGTTTCATTTGCTAGCATCATTTCATGAGGAACTGAAAGGCTGATCGAGCAATATGTGGACTTMATGTAGGATCTTACCTGGTTTGGAACCCTCTGGTACCGTGCCATTCCAGATCTGATGAGTGAACTCGGGTCTGTTGTCGTTCATATCGATCACGTTGATCACAATATCAACTGGGTTTTCAACCTGATTGCCATTCAGGTCCACTGCATGGGCTCTCAACTAGAAATAAAAAAATAATAAAAAAACACAAACAGGGTTATTCTGAGCCACAAAAAATATATATATAAATGGGGAAAAAAAAACAAAATCTCTGAGTGAGTGTTACCCAATACATGTTTGTAATATTCCAGTTACCAGGAGGCTTTATTGGTGTAGTAAAAAATTCTAATCATTGAGGAGATGATTTTAATTCACACCAAGGGAACCAGATGAGAATATTTTTATATTATTTTATTATAAAGGAACAGATACTTCCCTCATTGCAGTTTTGCTTTTGCTTAATTTCACCTCAGTAGAAACCAGCAGGTAACGAAATGAAAACATGTACAGTAGATTGATGTACACCCCACCACTACTAATGCTGCATGCACAAGGTATGCAAGAAACCATAAAGAGTCATGTGATTAGATGCCTTCTACAGAATCAACACAAACATTGTGTCGACATTAATGTCTGTTAAAAACTGATATAATCCTGGTTGATTCATGTTAACATAATAATTCTCTGGTTTAATGCTACTAATCACATTCTTTCTGTTTTTAAACAAGATATTAAAGTGCATTCATTTGCACCTTAATTTAGCATAAAACTGCAAGATAACCATATTTTTTAAATCACTGATAAACCTTTCTTCTATCTAATAATCCAATTCATTCATACTACACTGAACACAATTGCTACAATTTACATTAAAAACTACAAGCTAAGTGTAGCTAAAATCAAACTGTATGGTTTTAAAAGTATAGTTAAGAGAATTAATAAAATAAATGTTGCACTTGGTTACATAGAGGAATATCATGAGAAAAGCTGATTATTAGACAGAGTTGCTCTACAGTTTGCAATTCTCAGAAAGCTAACAATGAAGAAGTAGGAACATCTGAGAACATTTTAGACATCATTTAAAAAGAACATTTCATCGAAATGGAATAGAAACAGTGATGCATAAAGCAGCTTTTAAGCTGAAGGTTATGTTAATGTAGCTAACACAATTCACTCAAATTCCTTTAAATTCTCAGACGGATAAGTTAGATTTCCAGGGAGACTCAGGTCTTTATTGAGTCTAAAGAGACTGTTTAGGCTACACGTGACCTTGAGCACACGCCAACTGGCAGGAATGTTCGGCGCTGCCGGTGAGAACACATTTCTCTTGATAAAGCGGACCGAAAAGGATGTTTTCAAAACTCAAGGAATTCATTAACGAGCATATCTTTCTGAATGCTGCGCTCGACTTACATGGAAGGTGGGGATGTGCTCTCGATCCAGGGGCTTGTTGACCGACAGCTCTCCAGAAATGGGGGCAATGGTGAAGATTCCAAGTGGAGGCTGGTCAGCGCCTGGGCCCGTCACACTGTATCTCAGAAGTTTGCTTTTATCATGATCTGATCGGATCTGTGGGTGCAAAGATTCAACTTGAAATTAATTATTCAGTATAACTAAATTCTAAATCCTAAAACTGAAAGAAAAAAAATCCCATAAATTTTTGAAAAGTCAGTTGCTGTGTAAGCACAGGAAACCATGTACCAAGCGTCTACATAGTATTGAAGTTCTGTCATAGTTGGACTGAGTATTCATGTAAGCTGAGAACCTCTGAGCCTACACCCTTCATCCATTCTGAACAGACCAGTTTCTCTTCTTGATATCACTTACAGTCACCTGAAAATATCCTTTCAAATATTGTAATAAAAAAACATATTGCAATCGTATTTAGCATAGTATCTGCTTCTTAGTTGTCCCAATTACTGATTGTCCACTGTTAGACAGAGACACATAGGCCTTAGTGCTTTTTGAGAAAACAAAAAAAAGAAGAAAAGAAAAACTGCTCTGTATTTATATTTGTGCCATAAAAAAGCAGAACAAAGAAAAAAAGTCATACAATAAATTATGCTAGTGTACATTTTGATTCCTGGCGTCTTCAAAATACTGCTAGGTTGTAATAAAATTGAATGCCTAGAGCAGGGGTCCCCAAACTTTTTCCTGTAAGAGCCACATAACTTTTCCATTCTCTGGTGGGGGGCCGGAGTCAGTTTGTAACAGAAAAAGTGTGACTATTGCAGGAGTGCCTAAATGTAAAAAAATATTGTTTTTCAGAAAGMACAATCAAATAACCCTCTCTGGGTTCTTCACAGTATGTTTTCTGCTGAGCTATCAGTCCACTTTTTAGCTTTGAGAGTTTGTTTGCTTGCATCTGGCCTTGCAAGCTATCATACTTGTCTTTGTGACGGGATTCATAGTGTCGCCGCAGATTGTATTCTTTGAATACCACCACTGCCTCTTGACAGATGAACAAAAAATAATCATTTGTCCACTGCAGCTTAAACACCCTGCATTATGAATCAATTTTTCTCTTACCTAATCTTTTCGCCATTATTCCATTCTCTCTTTGAGAGGGGCGGGCTTAGGATTTTTTTCTGGAGGTTGCCAGATAGGGGCACAGACCGCAGAAGGATGGAACAGAATGTCACGTTATATGTGTGTATGTATGAAATAGTTAATAATAGTTAATAATGAAAATAGTTCATAACTAAGGAACATTTTATTGCAAAAGTCCAACTTTATAATCGAATATAAATACACATATGAAAAAAACCTAAATGCTCTCTGGTATTGTTCTGGGGGCCGGACCAAATGGGGAGGCAGGCCGGATCCGGCCCGCGGGCCGTAGTTTGGGGACCACTGGCCTAGAGAACAAAAACATAAAAATACAGCAGAAAAAAAAAAAAAAAACAACTAAACTTTAGTAACATACTGTATTGTTAATTAGATAAGTTTCCTGTCAGTTAGTTCTTTATTGCCCTGAACTCAGCTTAAAGCACTTGTTAGCCTACAAGGTCGTCATATTAAGCAAAAAGGTTGTATCCTTTAAAATCCAGAAGATTGGCGTTTGTGTGCATGCATGCAGTTGAGTCAGATACATTACCCGGACTAGCTCTTGTGGGAATGGGCCTCGTGAGTTCTCAGGGACATTGATTGGAGGGATGACCCAGTCTCTTTTTATGCGTTTCAGTTGGCTGTCCGCGTTTCGCAAAGGGAACACTATTTCCTCTAAGTTCTTGGACATGACTGGAGGGACAGCACGTTCCTGGTCCTGACAAAAAAAAAAAAAGAAAAAAAAGAAATGATTTACTGATCATACAATATGCAGGAAAGTGGGCACACAGGCGTTTTAAACAACCAGGAGGCAAAGCTGTGAGGTTGGCAGTGTTGATCTGTAGGTTGGTTTGCCACGGACAGAAATAGCTTTAACAATTTGTTTGCAGATTTCGTAAGAAATGCCTGAAGACTTTGGTAATCCACTAAGAACACTTTCAATGCCACTGAAATGTGAGGTCTGACTTCTGAACAGCTAATAGGTGTCACAACACATTATATACATGTTTGTGGTCAACTCACAATGGAGTATAATAACAGTGATCTTTAACTATGGTCAAAAGTGGGTGAAGCTGGTGAATATTGCATCATCTTATTTTCGTTTCGAGTATCAAAGGTCATGACATTAAACAGTAACAAACTTTGATTCCTTGCTTTCACTATCATCATCATCATCATTAGAGTTATTGTTGCCATAGTCATTCTGAGTATGCCTGTCACGATCACTTTTGCTGGATGATAAAATGTCTCCGAAATTATTGTGATAAATGATAATATGGATTGGAGACAGTTTTTAAATTAAAATGATACCACACACACCCCACTTACAAAGTTTACAGAAGTTTACAGAAGTTTTTGAAATTTGCATACGTAAAAAAATAAATAWATAAATAGTTACGAACTGACCTGGACCGGAGATTGGGTAAAGAGCAGCAAATGCTAAAGCTGTAAAAATGCTTTCAACCTCCTCTTTACAAGTAAGTGCAATTTATTCCCTATGCTTCTTCCTCTGGCTCCATAAAATAACTGTGGTCACCTGCACACCGCTTACAAAATGTACGCAAAGTTACAGACGAACTAGGAKTGGAGTTGGTGAAAACACCACACAACAACAGCAACAGAAGCTGTAACATTGCTAATTCACCTCTAGCCAAGCCAGTGCATCTTTTTTTCTTTATGCGTCTTCCTCTGGCTTCATAAAATAATTGCAGTCACCCGCAAGCTGCTTACGAAGTTTACAAAATGTATGTATTGTTAAAAAACATTAAAATAAAAWAAAAAATCTGCAAACCCAAGGTTCTGCACGATGCCCTGAGGGCGTCTTGAGTCGAGTCGCCGCCAGCTGAAAAACGCCATCAGACATCATAGACGCCCCTCCAGCTAAATATCTTTTCATGGGATCTTATGCTACAGAAATTACAAAACTATATGCCTGGCAAATACCGGATGCTGGAGTTCACTGCTCCCTATGCTAAAGAGTAGGAAAGAGGGCGACACGAAGAAAACAAACAGGCAAATGAAAATTGAACTTATTTTAATGTGTCATGCAATTAATTGATTTATTGCTCATCATGACAGGACTAATTGTGAATATAGTAATGTATCATTTATATTTACCTGTGTAAATAAAACCTGACCTTACAGCAAAAACTGGCATTAAAAGTTAATCAACATTTTAAGAACCAAACAATTAGGAAAACTTGTGATAGGAAATAAAGGAGCAGGTTGCCATTTTCAAACATGAATCAACAAATAATCAGAATGTCTGTTCTGTCTTTTTTGTGTGTGTGCGTAGCTTTACCACAATGCTTTGAAACACAGCAGAATTACCTCTGTAGTTGCACTCCTCTAACACTGGTTTGTTTAAAATGGCAGATCTCTTTTTATGTGCTGATAAAACACACCCACACAGATATACCAGCTTCCATAATGGATCTGCCATCCTCCCTCAGCTGTAATGAATAAGATTTGAAACAAAGGGAGGATGGTACCTGAAAGCCAGGCGCTATATACACACGGTCCAAATTGCCTATGCTTCTTCAGAGACTAAAAAAGACTGAAGTACTGCCAAGAAAAGTTAAAATACCCTTGAACAAAGTAAAGCAGGAAAGAAAACAAGGGAAAAAAACAAGTATGTAAAATGTGCCATTGTCAATAAATAAAAAGGCACTGAGCAAAGATTTTTTATGAAACTGCCAAGTTTTCAGAGCCATTATCCTTCGTGTTGTCTCTAAATATCTAAATGCTGACAGCTTGTTAGGCAGCCAAGTCTTATAAAGTACTACAAAGTACCTTGTGCAAACACAGAAATTAATTAACACTTTTTCACCTTATAACATGAGTCGTATGACTCAGATCCCACACTCCCCCTCCTCAAACATCTGGGGAGATGTCAGAGAGCTTCCACTAATCATGTTTGAAATCCGATTATACTGCTTTCACGCATTCAAAATGCAGAGAGGCAAGCGACCAGATAGTAAAAGACGCATGCCTCCGAAATATCTATTACCATATTAAAATGGCTGCGAGTGAGACCAGTAATTATTTGGAACTTACATCTGAAATGATGAATGACATGATGGGTTTGTTCAGCTGAACAAATCTATCTCGGGTACGCTGGAGGTCTGCAGCCATCCACACTTTTGCGAGCATTCTCATTCTTCAGATTAGAACACTACTTCAGAGTCCCAGAGTGTGCTAGGTTGAGTGATGGCCTTAGTATTAGCGGGTGTGTAGGATGAATTACATGTGCGTGTATTTGCCCTTTTGAGAGAAGATTTTTTTTTCCGTTTTTATTCTCTTAGAGTTTGGTGCAGCCAAATTTTAAAATGAAGATTGAGGCCGAGCACAAAAAGGCATGGACTCATGTTAATGAGGATGCTGTTTGCTTGTCACTGATTAAAAATGTTTCCCAAGGCTGATGCATTAATGACGCTATAAAAAAGGTGCAATTGCTGAAGTGATTAATAGATGTGTGATGATTTATGACAATAATTGTGCTGAAGGGGAGGATAACCACTCCTGACCTCATAAACATCCAAATATAGAGATGCCAATCCCTGGATTCTTTCTAAACAAATCAGGGCAAATCCAACAGCTCTCAGCTGATACAGACCAAAGTCGAGTTAATAATTTGTATACACATSCGGAACCCATGTGAGATTCTCTGACTTCAAAAGGTAAGACTCAAACTTTTGCCAACTCTAAACAATGAGCAGGGACATAATTAAAATGACATGAACCTGCAGGATCCTTTATACTAAATGATTGTCAGCAGCTAAAAGTGCTTTGAAAAGCAGAGGAAATAATTACCTGCATGAATTCAAATTGAGCAGTGCAGACTGGTGTGTCTGCTGCACTGACATAACTAAATCCTAACTTTAAATAAGAAACCATAATAAATATAGCTCTCGCCTTTCTTAGCTTTTTTTTCCTTTACTGCACATTGGGAAGCATCCCATTGTAACCATTTGCATAAGTACAGTACAGGGACTTAGAACAAAAAGCATATTGTTCTTTGTACAACAAGCATGATTATTACATTTGGGGGTGTTCATTAAGTAAGAGGAAAGATTTGCTATCTTGCATCATTAATTACAAACATGCACTTTTATCGCAAAAGAAAGCATYCCAATRAAGTAWTACACAACTTAATACAGGACGGTGTATTTGTTTGTGTACAATTAGATGAGTTTAAAGATAATATTGTCTAACTATCCAAAATAAAACTGGGTGTACCTGTTTTAACTCAACCAAACTTCCTCAGTAGCACAGCAATATTTTAGGTCCAAGCTAAAAAGGCAGACAGACGAGACATGTGCTGTGCTTTTTTTGTGTGATTGCAATACTTCTGATCCTCATCCARCTGCAATGCTGACATGTGAACACATGGTCATTTTAACTAACTGCAGATGACTGCACAACATAGGCAGTGAAGCGATTTGAGGAGCTTTTTGCAGCTCAGACAGATGCTTCCTGACTGTAAAAGAAGCAAACTCAAGGTTTTTTTTTTTTGGATGACAAGGTTCTGACCTGAGAGGGTTAAACTTCATTGAAAGATACTGCTTTCAAGCAACCATACTTTGTAAATTGATAGTTTTTATTAGCAAGCATCTGTCCAATGTCATGGAACACCTGCTGAAACGTAGAATAGCAGTCATCTCTCAGTATTCAGTGTGCATGACAAGCTATTTGAAATAAGCCTAAAACTGATTATTCAACATTCAGACAGTAAGATCTGCCAGATTCCAAACAAACAAGGCGGAATGATGTATTCACCTGTATGGGGGGTGYCAGCCTGACTTGGGTCATCCATTGCTGCCGAGTGGTGGTGTCGACAGCCTTGATCAGCAAAGGTGACACAGGGAGTGAGGAGGCCTGAAGAGTCCTTGCAGCATAAACGACTCCGTCGGCCTCTATCCGGAAGTCAGATGGATTACTGCATTCAAATCGCACCAGACCACCTCGCCAACAGCTGATAAACTTCACTGTAAGAGAAAGAGGCAGAAAGATTACAGAGTAAAATCAGACRGAGAAAAAAAGRCCCACAAAGGTGTTCTGGTTCTCTTTCTCACTTATACATTATTCACTTCAAGCTGTTGCCCAAAGGTATCGCTCAAAACCGGTGCAGTGGAGGAGAAAGGAGGGAGTACAAACTTAAGAAAAGGAAAAAGCTGTGCTCCTTAAGGACTATTAGAGAAAAAATACAATATACTGAAAAGATACTGTGTAAAGTCCACCATTCTAACTGCTTTGAAGTATTACAACAACAAAAAAAAAAGAAAAGATAAACAGAATATTTGGAGATGTCAAATGTTGGAGAGGTCTTATTTTGTTTGCAGCAAAGACTACTGCACACTAGCTTTGTCCCCTATGACATACCATGACGCAATGTGTGGGTGATCTTCTGCTGCTTGAGAGACAGATCTGAGTGTGATGTTTATTTTATAAGCAAGGACATGCAGAAATCTAAAACTCAACAGCATACACTCAGACACGGTGGACAGGTGGCTCATCGGGGCTCGAGTAGGTGCCTAGGTGGCTGGGGAACAACATCTCTTGTTACGACTGAGTGACAGTACAGCTCCTGTACCTCCTGCATGTATAGAAAAACAAACGCATACCGAACCTCAACAGCTAAAAGCTTCAATACGTAATTCCTGTGTTTGAAAATATTTCCCTATAAGCTATTCTTTATAATATGTAAAGATCACAGTATGTCATACATCATTCTTATGAAGGCTCCACTGAAGCGGCCATAAATTATTGAAGCAGATGTGGAACTACTTAACAAAAAAGCCTGGAAGGTGGGTGCCTAATCTTCCTTTGTGCTGCTACCTTGGGGATCCACTGATGTCTACAAAGCATCATCTGCACTTGGAGAAAAATCAAGTTCCCATGGGTCCGAAGAAAGGATGCAGTAGACTAGCTCCGGGTGTGAAGAAAACCACAAGTACACCACATCCTATGGGTGTTATATTTCTGAGTGGAAAATAGGTGAATTTAAAACATTTCGCACATACCTGCAACAAGAATTCCCATATTGTTTTTTTTTACCCTACAACTATTCAGTAAAATTATACCAAGCAGCACACAAGATGAATGAAAAATATGATAAAGTAAATTGTTTTAATTAATATGCAAAATCACATATTCCTTCTGGGATTCATTTTTTTTACTGACCATCTCACTTCTTGTCTAGATTTGTTCAATTACCCTTGACCAATTTGATTTTTCTTTGAACCCAGCAAAGCTGACATCGGATAAATGACTTCCTCTTTCTGATGGTTTGCCTTTAAAGCCAGGTGCCTGTATGCTCAAAGCCCTCAGGCAATCACCAGCCATCTCAAGTCAGCAGCAGATACTCCGACTGAGGTGGAATACAGAGTAAGGGACTGTCAAAATAACTCACAATGCAGCAGAAGACTGTCAATAAATTTAAGAAGCTTCACGATGTTCAAGGTGGGTATAGTCTCAGGCTCAGCCTGACAATTCTGAATGAAATGTAAAAAAAGAAAAGAAAGGAAAGATGTATGAGGCTATTCTCCAAGCAGATCTTATTTATATTAAGAAAATATTACATTTAATCTCAATGAATACAAAAATTACAAAAAATACCCAATTATCTAACTTAGTTGTAGTTGAAAGAAACGTTTAGAAGATGGTAAAAGCCATGTTAATGATTCAAAAATGTTTTTAAATGTGTCAATAAGCAGGAGAAAAACTATGTTTTACACATCTAGGACAGAATATGTTAATAAGTGTTAACTAAATCATTAAAAAAACAGGAAAAAAACAAACAATTGACATGTCTTTGTTTTCCAAAGTTCTATTTAATTTATTTACACAGTTTTTGTTCTGACACTTGTGATGACATCATTTGTGACCAAGTGTTATAATGTATTCATCAGCCTTCCTCAGACTCAGATATTTTAGCCCAAGCTTCCTCTAGTGGTGAGCTCCAGCTCTTTACTATTGTCTGAAATGTGGCCATCAGGCCTCCTCTGTGAGGCTATTCAACAGTCAGGCCCCACTGCAATCACTACACCAGCTCCCAGCAGGTACAGCCATTTTCAATGATAATGTATGAGAATGTCCTGCATGTGTCCATTTATTTCTCTGACATACTCTGGTGGTTTATGAAACCACAACAATGCAAAGTGTGACACTGCAACAATTTATCTCTCTCTAGATGGATGGGCTCCCTGAGGTACAGGGCTAAAAGAGATCTTGGTTGCCACACCCTATCGCACATGTCATCATGGGCACAACGATAAAGGCTCGAATTGGACAGAAATGCCGATGCAGCACAGAAGGGAATTGGGGGTTGAGGTTAAAAAGGGGGGAAACCAGCATGTCAGCAAAATAGCCTGTCCAGCTAAAGCCCTGATCCTGGGCCCAAAATTACCTCCGACTCAATGATTCCATTCACAGCTGCGATACACCCCCCTCTTTTGTCGGACGACACAAAACCCCCTCTAACCTCTCTATAGTACAAGAGTGCCTTTCTATTGTCTGATCATCACGTGATAACTCTAACTCAGACAGACACAAATAGTTGGAAAACAAAGAGTAGAGGCAGAGGCACATTTAATTTGGAGCACCAAATCTGRGCCCCTTGACTCCACAGAAGCAAAGAAAATGTTCCACAATCTCATCTTTAATGCCTGCCTGCCTGCAAGCGAGCAGACTGAACCTCTAATGTGCTGTTAATGTGACAAGACTGAAACCTCTCTTGTGAGATCATCTTGATATGCCATCATTTATTCTGGGATGTGAGGTCACTGACAGCTGAGAAATACTCAGCATAGGTGTTTCATCAGTAGCTGCAGATAAATGCGTAGCTGTGCAAATACCCAGCGCCAATCTCCAAACCCAACCCTGGCAAATGGTTCAACACCTCAGAGCAAATGCATTATTCACAAATTAAYGTGTCCAGGTTTAGTACAGTAGTCTGCACTTGGCAGTGATACAATGCAATATGGAGCGAAGACTCCAGCTGAATGTAGTGTTTAAGACATCCATGCCAGCACCACTCTTTATAAAGATCCTGTTGAGCCCCAATAAAGCTTGCACTCTGGTACCTTATTTCAAACTGCTGTGATACGAAATTCTAATCCAAGCTAAACTGGTGAAAACACATTAACTTATGGTCAGCTTTCTCCAACAGTGCACAGACTTTTTGTGCAACCGCCAAAATATCCCTAACAGCATATTCAGTAATCGTTCCAATTATTGCATGAACCGCTAAAAGCACAATGTGCTAATGGAACACAAAGTAAGATTGCTGCTTGCTATGCATAATTGCTCATGCATATGTTTATTTTCTCTTTTTTCCTTTAGCATAGTGAAGTTTTTTAGGGCTATCATTATGAAAGCATATTTTACAAGGCTTGTAAATAAGGCCATTGTGCAACCTTAAACATCTCTTTCCTTCTTAATTACAAGCATTTAATGTAACTAATGAACAGGTAAAGCTTTTTTTTAATTAACATTTTTTTACAACTAATATTTTATTGCATTTCAGTTTTAATTTGAAGGAATGGCATCATTATTTCTCTAAATACCTGAAAATGTAGGAGTCATTTGAGACCAAATACAAACAGTTATCCAAGATGCACGTTGTTTTTTTCCTTCAAAATATGTGATACTTCCCAGAGACATTAAACACAAGTAGCATAAATCTGGATATGATATTTCATTTAGCCAGAATATGCCCTTGAAGGACTTTAACAACAGAACAGCACATCAAATGTGTAGCATTTTATGCAGTTATAGCTGAATATGTGGGGTTTTGCCAAAATATATTTGCACATAAAAACAAATGCAATAAGCAGTTGGCTCAATGTTTTCGCATAATTGCAATGACCAATCCCCTAGTACTTTTGTTTTCATCTTAAAACTGCTGGCTAAATTAGAGAATTATAGAGAGGCCCTCAAAATGTATTGATACTACAATCCCTTATCAAAAGCACCCACATTAGCATACACATACTGCAGAACATCAGAACTATAAACATCTAAGGGAGCTATATCTTTTCTTGCATGCTCAGTCTCCAAAGTAGATTTTCATGCTTTCCTAATCCAGCAAACAGGCTCTAGGGGAAAGGAAATATCTATTTATTTTAATGTTGACTTTTTTAAAGTCCCATTTGAACATTTCTTCATTTGTTCTCTTTGGTTATAACTACCTCATTTAACAAATATTTTATTTTCTTTGCGACATTAAACCTTTGATTGTTCATTACTGAAACAAAAGTGAACTTTGGCCTTTTCCTCTGGCTTTCTTGCACATCAACTGCAAACTTGTTAAAAAACCATTTGCTAGGTCAAACTAAAAGACTACCTAAATGCGACTGAATACTGTGACTGTCTTAAACTGGCATTTGCTAAGTATGTTTTATTACAGTTCCAAAACACTAAGATCCATCCAGTTGTTACGGGTTTCCCATGCAGGGCTGTGAGGAGTCAGTGGGTGAGTGGGGAAGTAAACCCTGAGCAGGTTGCCAGTTCATCAAAGGGCCACACAGAAATTAAAAAAAGAAAACAATTCACAATTTCACTCTTTGTTTAAAAAGCAATTTGTGTCATTTAAAATGTATCCACATCTCTAAGAGTAGTCAAAAATGCGATTAGCAAAGGGGAAAATATCCCAATTATAAAGAGCTATGTTGTGCAAACAAAATGGTTCTGTTTTCCCGTAAACTGTCTGACAGTCAAGCATTGTGCGGATTAACGTGCYACTGAAGCCAAGAACTGATAAGGCTAAGCTACATCCTTCTGCAGTTATCAGTGCATAGCTACCAGGATTTTGCTCTGTGAGCTATTGAGACAAGAAGCTTGATACACAGCCTGTAGAGGGACATTAAACTGACCACCAATGCCAAGATGTCAAACACACTTCAATCATACAAAAGGCATCTCTCATCTCTCAAAAGGGCACGACAAAAAGATTGCAGGTGGGCTTGCAACAAAAAAGGTGGGGGTG